ATGCCGGCAGCTGCTGCTGTTGCTGCTGCTCGTCCCGCTGCAGCTGGTGCTGCTGTTGCAGGTGCCTTAGCAGCTGGCGGTTTCGCTGTTGCTGCTGCTGCTGCTGCTGCTGCTGCTGCCCTTGCTGCAGCAACTGTTGTTGCTGCAGTAGGAGCAGCTGCAGCATCAGCTGCTCCTGCTCCTGCTTGTGCACGCCGTGGTGCTGCTGCTGCTGCTGTTGCTGCTGTTACTTTTGCAGGAGTGCTTGCTGCTGCTGCTGTCGTTGTTCTCGCAGGAGCATTTGCTGCTGCTAGCCGCGCTGCTGCTGCTGCAGGCTCTAGAGGTGCTGGTGCTTTTGCTGCTGCTGCAGCTGCAGGCGCTGCTGTTTTTGGTGCTGCTGTTGCAGCTGCAGGCGGTGGTGTTTTTGGTGCTGCTGCTGCAGCTACAGCCGCTGCTGTTTTTGCTGCTGCTGCTGCAGCTGCAGGCGCTGCTGTTTTTGGTGCTGCTGCTGCAGCTGCAGGCGCTGCTGTTTTTGGTGTCCTTGCTGCTCCTGCAGCATGCGCTGCTGCTGCTGGTGCCCTTGCTGCTGCTGCAGGTGCTGCTGCTGCAGGTGCTGCTGCTGCTGACGTGGCATCTGCTGCTGGTCCTGCTGCCGCTCTTGCTGCTGCTTCTGTAGCTGCTGCAGCCTTGGATGTAGTTTTTGCAGCTGCTGCTGCTCGCCGTGCTGCTGGTGATGGTTCACCCGTTGCTGCTGCTGCTGCTGCTGCTCGCCGTGCTGCTGGTGATGGTTCACCCGTTGCTGCTGCTGCTGCTGGCCTCGCTGCTGCTGCTGCTGTCGCTGCTGGTGTTACCTTTGCTGCTGGTGGTGCAGCAGGTGCTGCTGCTGCTGCTGCCACACCTCTCACTGCTGCAGGCCGCGCGGCTGCCGCCGCTGCAGCAGGAGGAACTGCTGCTCTTGCTGCTGCTGCTGCTGCTGGCGCTGTTTTAACTCGTGCTGCTGCAGGTGACGGTGCTGCTGCCACGGGTGCTGCTGCTTGTGGTGGCCTCTCCGCTGCTGCTGCTGCTGCTGCTGCTGCAGCTCTCGCAGTCTCATGTGCTGGTGGTGCTGCTGCTCTTGCTGCTGCTGCAGCAGCTGCTGGCGCTGCCGCGGCCGGGGGTCGCGGCGGCGGTGCAGCAGGTGCTGCAGCTGCTGCTGCTGCTGCGGGGCGGCTCAGCTGGAGCAGCAGCAGCAGCAGCAGGAAGCAGCAGCTGCGCTGCTTGCTGCTGCGACTGTAGGGAGGCCCCGGCAGCATGCTGAGAGCGCCTTCTATAGGGACGTCATGCGGGTTGCTGCTGCTGTTTGTTATTTAAAGCTGCAGCAGCAAAACAAATAAACAAATAAACAAAAAGGCAGCAAAAGTGGCGAGAGAGCAGCAGCAGCAGCAAAAGGCGTTTTGCTGCTGCGCCGAAGCGGCAGCAGTTCGCTGTCCGCAGCAGCAGCAGCAGCAGCAACGCCGCTGCTGAGGTGTGAGAAGGAGACTAAGGGCGCTCTTTAGGTTCTAATTGATTTATTGTTTTTAAATAAAGTTATTTCAACGAAAAAAGTAAAAAAATAAATAAAGGAGAGCCACAGACAGCCCCCGGCGCGCGGGGAGCTGGGGTGTATATACAGCTGCTGTATGAGCGACGCGCAAGAGCCAGGGAGCAGCCAGAACTTCTATAAGTGCGTTTTTCGTTTTAAATTTCGAAATAAAATTAATTTTTGAATTTAATTTCAATTTAATTTTCTTTTTGGATTTATTTCAAACAAAATAACGCCGAAACTGCCCCTATACACCCCAAGTTGACCGCTGGTCACCGCCCGCGCTCCCCCCGAGCGCTGTTTGCCCAGGGGCTGAAATCCCCTGAAGTATACTTTTAAAATTAAAATAAAAGCATTATTTCCTTTAATTTTATTTCGGAGCTATTATAAAACACTCTTTTAGGGTTTAGGGTTTAGGGTTTAGGGTTTGGGAGCAGTGCGTGGCAGGAGGTCGGGGTTGGCGCGAGAAAACTGGATTTGAATATTCGGCTTTTGGCGATTTGAAGTAAATAAATAATATTTGAAATACCATTTGAATATATTTGAATACTTTTTAAGATTTGAATGCTTTTTAATGTTCAAATAAATGAAAGGAATTAAAGTTCCAACAACACGAAGTCAAGCCGGCGGGGTTTAGTGTGCAGGGCGCTGAGGTGTACGTACACCCCAGCACCAGGGCCTGCTGCAGCAGCTTTTGGACAAACTTGCTGTTTTGTTTTTTATTCTTTTTGGCCTTCAATCGAAGCAGGCGGGCCCAAAGACCCTAAACCCTAAACCCTAAACCCTAAACCCTCGCAGTTAAGGGCCGCATTGCTGCGTTTAATGCTGCTGCTAAGACTGCCCTGCTCAAAGAGCAGCAGCAGCAGCAGCAGCAGCAGCTTTCGCGGCTCGCATCACCAGCAGCAGCAGCAGCAGCAGCCGTAAGATCCGTGGCTGCTGCCCCTGCATCTCTCCAGGCAGATCCCTCCTTCCTCTCTCCCCACCGCTGCTGCTGCTACTGCTGCTGCTGCTGCTGCTGCTGCTGCTGCGCTGCTGCTGCTGCTGCTGCTGCTGCTGCAGGAGTTTCAGTCCATGTCGAGCTCGATGCAGGCGAGGCACTTGACGAGCAGCAGCAGGGGCCCCTTGACTCTGAAGTCTCTTCTTGCTGCAGCAGCAAATAGTCCCGTTTCTTTTGTCAAAATGCTTCTCCAAGCTGCTTCTGTAGTTTCGACTTCCACATCTGCTGCTCTTTCGCATTCGTCCCGCGTAAACACAATGCCTCTCCGAAAGTGCACGCAGTGCCGCTCCTGCTGCTGCTGCTGCTGCTGCTGCTGCTGCTGCTGCTGCTGCTGCTGCTGCTGCTGCGGGGGCGCGTCCGTTTCTGGGGAGGCCGCTGCTTGGGCGGGCTGCCTCTGCTCCGCAGCAGCAGCAGCAGCAGGAGCAGCAGCAGCAGCAGCAGCAGCAGCAGCTTCGGGGGGAGGGACGAACTTGAAGAGAATGACTGCGTCGATGTCTGCTGCTGCTTCGGGGTCCACTCGGAAAGGCAGCAGCTGGAAAATGTCCCGCGGCGGCAGCAGCTGCAGCAGCTGCTTCTTCTGCTGCTCACTCATCTGCAGCCGCAGAGACCCCTCAGTTTCTCTTGCTGCTGTCAAGTACCAATTCCTTGCTGCAGCAAACACACACACGCACACACAAGCCCTCAGCAGCAGCAGCAGCAGCAGCAGCAGCAGCAGCAGCAGCAGCAGCAGCAGCAGCAGCAGCGGCGGCGGGAGCGCCGCGCCCCGGGCGCGAAAACCGTGGCCGCAACCGGCGTCACCGTGCTGCTGCTCCCAAGCGCCACAACAACAACCAGCAGCAGCAGCAGCAGCAGCAGCAGCAGCAGCAGCAGCAGCAGCAGCAGTCTTTCCTGAAGCAGCAGTTTGCGTGGCAGCGAGGGCCCTGAGGGCGACGACCTTGAGTTCCCTGGCGAGGGCGTTGTGGGGCTGCAGCAGCAGCGCAGCAGCAGCAAGCTGCAGCGCCCACTGCGGGTTGCTGCTGCGGATGGCAGCAGCAGCAGCTTCCAGGAGCTTGTGGGGCCCCCCGGCGAGCGCAGCAAGAGCAGCAGCAGCAGCAGCAGCAGGCAGCGGCTGCAGCTGCTCTGCAGCCCCCCCGAACCAGCCCATGTAGTGTGTATATACACCGCGGACAGCAAAGGGCAGCGCGCCGTAGAGCTGCTGCAGCAGCGGGTGGCTGCTGAGGTGTACAGGCAGCTGCAGCAGCGCAGCAGCTTCCTCGCTGCTGCTGCCTTTGTTCATTAATCTTATTGTTTGATCATGAACAAACAAAATAGCATCCCGATAAGCTGTCAACGCCGAGTGTACGTACACCCCACCGGCCAAGGGCCTCGTGTGGCCCAGCAGCAGCAGCTGCGGCTGCAGCGCGCGCATGCGCTCCAAGGAAGCAGCCCAGTCTTTGCTGCTGCGGCTGCTGCCGCCGCGGATGGCGTAGAGGTTGGGAAAGCTTTTGTAGATGTTGTCAGCAGCAATTAAAGTTTGCTGCTGCTGCAGCCACACCGCCAGCTGGTCGGGGGTTTCCCCAGGCACGTGCAGCAGCAGCAGCTCCAGACCCGCAGCACGCACCACCACCTCACGCTGCTGCTGCTGCTGCTGCTGCTGCTGCTGCTGCTGCTGCTGCTGCTGCTGCTGCTGGGGATGCTGCTGCTGCTGGGGGTGGGGGTCGTGCTGCTGCTGCTGCTGCTGCTGCTGCTGCTGCTGGGGGTCGTGCTGCTGCTGCTGGGGGTGGGCGTCTGCGGGGGCAGCGCCGCCGTCGCGCTCCCCCTGCTGCTGCTGCTGCTGCTGCTGCTGCTGCTGCTGCTGCTGCTTGCGGGCGCGTCGCTGCTGCTTCCTGAGGGCCTTGAACTGCTGCCAAATCTCGCGCATGACCACTGGACTCTCAGTGGTGTCCACGATGACCACTCCTGTGGGGCCTTTGAGAATAAAAGAGTTGGCAAGTCCGAAGCCAAGAGCAGCATAAACTCCCTCAGCAACTTCCAGCAGCTCCTTCTTGAACTCTTGCTGCTGCTGCAGCAGCGCAGCAGGAGCTGGCAGCGGGCCTTCCAGCAAGGCAGCAAACTCCTTCCGCACGCTCTCCAGCGTCAGCGGGGCCTCCTGCTGCTGCTGCTGCTGCTGCTGCTGCTGCTGCTCGTGCTGCTGCTGGAAGAAGAAGGGGAAGAAGGTCTGCAGCAGCCCCGGACGCAGACTCGGCCACCCCGCAGCAGCAGCAGCAGCAGCAGCAGCAGCAGACTCCGCGTCGTAAGGAGCAGCAACAAACAGCCGCAGCCCCGGAGCCAGCAGCAAAGATATTTGCCGCGCTGTGGGCGGCAGCAGCAAAAACAGCGAAGGGCCCCACAGCAGCAAACTGATGCAGCAGCAGCAAAACAACCAGCAGCAAGTCGTCATGAGCCTAAACACCCGCGAAAGACACCGGCTCCGACCCCGCCGCTGCGCCCCCTGCTGCTCCTGCTGCTGCTGCTGCTGCTGCTGCTGCTGCTGCTGGCGGGAGGGCTGGCGCAGCACTCGGGCCTGCACGTGCCCGGCTGTTCCCTCTGGCAAGGTTTGCTGCTGCTGCTGCGGCTGCTGCGCAGCAGCAGCAGCAGCAGCAAACAGCCGCGGCTCCAGCCGGCCGCTCTGGCCGGCGTCCAAGCGGTCGCAGCCTCCGCCGTCCTTGCTGCTGCTGCTGCTGCTGCTGCTGCTGCTGCTGCTGCTCTTGCTAAGGGAGCGGCGCTTCAGGCCAGCTGGGGAGTCCGGCTGAGGCCATCCCGAGGCCTTCAGAGACTCCTCAGCCCCTTCGTGTTTCATTTGTTCTAATTAGTAGAAAAATAAAGTGAAAATCTGCTGCAGCAGCAGCAGCAGCAGCTGCTGCTGCAGCAGCTGCAGCAGGAAGCGAGAGAAGGAGCAGCAGCCCCAGCAGCTGCTGCGCGCGTCAGGTGTACGTACACCCCGGCGCAGGGCCAGAAAATAAAAATAAAATGAAAAGAGCGGAGCCAAAGAAGGAGCAGCAGATAGCTTGAGGTGTACTGACAGCTCAGCAGCAGCAGCAGCCGCGCACTAACAGCAGCAAATCAGGGATTAGTCAAGTCGCCAGAAAGTGCGGAATGTATTTAGGTGTACGTACACCTGAAATTCGCTCTTTAAGACCCTTTTAAGAGCTCTGCTGCAGCAGAACTGCAGCAGCAAGTCTGCTGCGGCCTGACCGAGCCGGCCCCGTCGTCGGCTGCGCGGCGGCCAATTCGGCCCAAACGAAGGACTTTAAGCGCAATTTTTGTTTTATTTTTAATTTAATTTTATTATTTTTTATTTTTATTTTTATTTAATTTCAATTTCCACCTTTTAAACGGCCAAACGCCCCCAGGCGCTCTCCCCCCGCCGCCGCTGCGGCGAGCCGACCGCCGGTCACCGCGGACGCAGCAGCAGCAAAGTGGCCGCAGCAGCAGCAAAAAAGGACTTCTTTTCTTTTTTAAATTGAAATATAATTCCCTTTTTATTTTTTATTTCTTTTTAATTTCATTTTCGCGTTTTTAAAACTCCAAAAGACCCAAAAATGCCCGCACTGCCCGCGCGGCCAGCCGCGAGCCCGGGTCACCTGCTCGCCGGCGAGGGGCGTTTGCCCCCAAAAAGTTGTCTTCAAAATTAAATTAAATTAAATTTAATTTAATTTAATTTAATTTAATTTAATTTAATTTAATTTAATTTAATTTAATTCGATTCAATTTAATTAATTTAAATTAAAAGAAATTAGGATTAAAAAGAATTAAAAATGGCGCCAATAAATACAAAAGTATTGTCTTCGGCCTCCACACGAGTCCCATACCCCAAACCCTAAACCCTAAACCCTAAACCCTAATCGGAACTTAAGTCAAACCATCCGCCTTCCCCAATCCCTAGGCCCTAAACCCCAAACCCTAAACCCTAATTCGTAGAAACGCTATCGAGCCTAAACGGCGGCGAAACCTTCGCAGAGCTGCAGCACCCTAAACCCTAAACCCTAAACCCTAAAACCTAAACCCTAAACCCTAGAAGCGGCCACCTGCGGGTCTACCCTTGCTTCCGCATGGGTTTAAGCCGCTTCATCTGTTTTCACTATTTAAAACTTCAAAGTGTCTTAAACATGAGGTGCAACTGCTGCAGCTGCTGCTGCTGCAGTTGCTGCTGCTGCAGTTGCTGCAGTTGTTGCTGCTGCAGTTGCCGCTCCTGCAGGTGCTGCTGCTGCAGGTGCTGCTGCTGCAGCTTGGCTTGGCTAAACCAATCCAGCACGAACTGTGGACTGGAAAGCCCCAAACCCTAAACCCTTAAGCCTAAACCCTAAACCCTAAACCCTAAACCCTAAGCCGCGCACGTTGTACCTGGGAACTTTCCCTCATTCTTGGACTGGTAGCGAGTGCGCGGCCCACCCCACGCGGCAGCGCTAGGGTTTAGGGTTTAGGGTTTAGGGTTTAGGGTTTAGATGTTGCAGGTCTTGAAAATGCTGAATCCGTCGCTGGCAGTAGCAGCAACAAACCCTGGAATTTGGGGGTGGAAGTGAAACTCTGAAATTTGCTGCTGCCCCCCGTGGACAAACATTAGCTGCTCGGGCACTGCAGCAGCTGCAGCAGCAGCACACACAGCAGCAGACGCAGCAAATAGCCGCCAGTTGCGCACAGCAGCAGCAGCAGCAGCAGCAGCAGCAGCAGCACAGCAGCAGCAGCAGCAGCAGCACAGCAGCAGCAGCAGCAGCAGCAGCAGCAGCACAGCAGCAGCAGCAGCAGTGGGAACGCTTCAAAGTCTCAAAATGTACAATTTTGAAAGCATGCATGCATGCACAAAGGCACCATTTATGCAAATGGAAATAATTTCAAAAAAGACTTTTTCAAATTAAAAAAATAAAAAGATTTGAAAACAAAATATCGGCAAGAGAGCCCAAGGGAAGCAAATGGTTGCACGCAGCAGCAGACAAGTGCAGCATTGCGAATTTGAAAAAATAACTCCAAAATAGGCATTTTAAACGCAAATTAATCCCAAAAAGGACTTCTAAAAGTAATTTTAAATTCAAATAAATTCATTTGAAAAGAAAAAGAGAAAAAAACGTGAAAAGAGGAGCGCGCGTCTGTTCGCGCGGTGTACGTACACCCCAAGTGTCGCAACTTGAATAAATGCAATTTCGGACATTTTTTGATTTATTTTCCTCAAAAGTGAAAATAAATGTTTTAAAAAACCGAAATAAATGCAAAAAACTGTCGATTTGGAGGTTTAAATGATCAAAATGCCATTCAAACAAAAGTTTTGCAAAATTTCGAAAAATTCCCAATTTCAACTCCGCGGAAACCGTCTCAAGTGCATTTCCGCACAAAAAGCTGCAAAAATATAAATTTATTTAAATTAAGGGAATAAAATATCTCAAAATGAAATAATAAAATCAAAATTGGAGAAATAAAACCAAAATTCAATGCATTTAGGTGGATATACACTTGAATTATTCGCAAGTTTGCATTCCAAAAGCCCTTTTGCACGAAAGCAGCAGAAGAGGCATTTAAAGAAGCATTTAAATGTTTACTTTTACATAAAATTTAATTTAATTTAATTTAAATAAATTTAAATAAATAAATATTTTAATTTAAACAAGAAAATCCCTCTGGGCAAAGTGGCATCTTTTTGGCCCTTTACACCTTCAGTATTAAAAAGCCATTTCTTTGTTTGCAGTTTTATTATTATTATTTGTTATTCCATTTTTAATTATTTAACTTTTGCTTTTCATTTTTATTTATTATTTCATTTTTATTACTTATCTTGGCAGTTTGTTTATTATCTATTATTACTATTATTATTATCATTACTATTATTATTATTAATAATAATAATTACTATTATTATTATTATTATTATTATTATTATTATTATTATTATTATTTCATTCTTACTGTTTATCTTCACGGTTTGCCTACTATTATTTATTATCTCATCTTAAATTATTTATCTTTTGCTTTTTATTTTTATTTTTATTTTTATTTTTATTTTTATTTTTATTTTTTCTTTAGTTCAAACATGTGCATGCACGAGCAGCAGCAAAACCGCAACAGCGAACAAAAGAGGACAAAAATAAAATAAAAGTTAAATCCATTTAAAAACAAAAACCACAAGCAGCAGCAGCAGCAGCAGCAGCAGCAGCAAACGCAACAGCTACCGTAGCACCAATCGCAGCAGCAGCAGCAGCATGAAATCCACTAGCAGCAGCAGCAGCAGCAGCAAACACAACACCTCCAGCAGCAGCAGCAGCAAACACAGCACCTCCAGCAGCAACAAACACAGCAGCAGCAGCAACAAACATAGCAGCAGCAGCAGCAGCAGCAGCAGCAGCAGCAGCTGCCGCACTTTGGACTTCTGTGGGTTCTTCTCGTTCGACAGACAAATCCCAAAAGGTGAGAGAGTCATCTAAACTTGCTGCAGCAAAAACCCCTTCTTCGCTGGGGTGCCACTCCACGCACTGCACACCTAAACCCTAAACCCTAAACCCTAAACCCTAAACCCTAAAACCCTAAACCCTAAACCCTAAACCCTAAAGAAGGGCGAAATGTTGCACAGCGAAGTCAACAAACTGTTCACCAACGCGGGGGTGTTTCCCGCGCCCTGCATAAACCCTAAACCCTAAACCCTAAACCCTAAACCCTAAACCCTAAACCCTAAACCCTAAACCCTAAACCCCCACCCTAAACCCTAAACCCTAAACCCTAAACCCTAAACCCTAAACCCTAAACCCTAAACCCTAAACCCTAGATGGGAGAGCCTAAACCCTCCTGCGAAGGCGCCAAGGGAACCCTTCCTGTGTCGCCGGTCCTGAGGCCGAGACCCTAAACCCTAAACCCTAAACCCTAATTCCTCGGCCTTAAACCCTAAACCCTAAACCCTGGGCGTAAACCCTAGACCGCCGCCAGGCATCTCCACGTCCCTCCCCGCAGCCCTTGGCGTCCCGCGCGCTGCTGCTGCACCCTTAGGGTTTAGGGTTTAGGGTTTAGGGTTTAGGGTTTAGGGCGCTGTGCCTTTTTCGGCTCAGGATTTAGGGTTTAGGCCGCCGGCTGCAGGGCCTAGGGTTTAGAGGCTAGGGTTTAGGGTCCCGGGCGCTGGGGCTTGAAAACCAGGGTTTAGGGTTTAGGGTTTAGGGTTTAGGGTTTACGGTGATGGGTTTTTTGTGCCAGTCGATCTGGGCGAGGGGCATTTGGGGGCAGCGGAGGTCCGTGGCAACCACTAAACCCTCTTCTAAACCCGCAAGCACTAAATTAGGGTTTTGAAAAGAAAAAGAAATGGAATTAACATCTGAGTTGTGGGGCCCCAGCAGCGCCGCGGGGTGTACAGACACCCCAACCCGCAGGTCGAACAGCCTGCGGTGTACAGACACCCCAAACCCGCAACGCCACTTCCCACTTCTTCTCGGCCAGCGTTTAGGGTTTAGGGTTTAGGGTTTAGGGTTTTGGGGCTATTCTCAGAGTATTGAAATTAAATTGCAATCTCTAAACCCTAAACCCTAAACCCTGCACCCATTCACCCACATATGCACAGGCGAGGCACTACGCTTCAAAACAAACCCTAAGCCCCAAACCCCAAACCCCAAACCCCAAAACCCAAACACCAAACCCTAAACCCTAAACCCTAAACCCTAAACCCTAAACCCTACTTGATGGTGCCATCGTTGGACGCGGCGGCGAAGATCTCTCCCTGTCCGTCTTCTCGGGGTTTCCACTTGAGTTCTTCCAAAGTAGAATTAGGGTTTTTGCTAGGGTTTTGATTAGGGTTTTTGCTAGGGTTTTGATTAGGGTTTTTGTTTTTTTTCTTTTTGAGGGTTTTGAATAAATCCTCTACACTCCAACCCCCTTCTTTTGGCAGCCACAAAAACGCCTGGCCTTTCACGTCGCCCGTGAGCAGCTTTCCGAGCTGTACGTACACCCCAAACCCTCGCAAACCCTAGCCGCAGCTTCCAGCTAGGGTTTAGGGTTTAGGGTTTAGGGTTTGTGCAGAGGGCTTTGGGCCCGGGCTGTGCGATTTGGGGTTTAGGGTTTAGGGTTTAGGGTTTGCGGCTGGGAGGCTGCAGTCCACACTTGCAGCTGGTAGCGCCCGCCAGCTTCACCGCATTTGCCCACACAGCCCTAAACCCTAAACCCTAAACCCTAAACCCTAAACCCTAAACCCTAGAGCCTTACGTGAAGGGGATTCCAGTCCATTGCAAACCCTTCTGTCCCGTGGCCTTTAAATTCAAAAGTTGGCTTCTGGTGAGGATCCGGCGGAGGGCCTAAGGACACGACAAACCCTAAACCCTAAACCCTAAACCCTAAAACCTAAACCCCATAGACACTAATCCTAAACCCTAAACCCTAAGCCCTGATAGTCCATTTCGTTAGCCAAGCCTTGAGCGCTTGCTTGCAAACCCTCACTGCCTCGGCGCCACAAACCCTTTGCGCAAACCCTAAACCCTAAACCCTAAACCCTAAACCCTAAACCCTAAACCCTAAGCCCTAAACCCTAAACCCTAAACCCTAAACCCTCACCAGCTGCACCCGGCTCGTCCAGCCTCTTGAGGTGCTTCTCAATATCCCAAACGCCAACCACCCCCAAGTCTGACCACGCAGCCACGAGGCGAGGCATCTGTTCGCAAACCCTAAACCCTAAACCCTAAACCCTAAACCCTAAACCCTAAACCCTAAACCCTAAACCCTAAACTCTAAACTAAACCCCTGGGCCTTGAGCAGCAAATTGTCTTGGGGGTTTCTTTGGGACAAAAAGTTTCGAGAAATAAATCTCCACGCCCTCTTAAGCCCTAAACTCAAAACCCCAAACCCTAAACCCTAAACCCTAAACCCTAAACCCTTGCCTGGGGGCAGCAGCGAATTCTGTTAACGGCCCCCTTGTGGGCAATTAGGCGGAAATCCAACTTGGCGTCTTCGCCGTTGTCATCTTCGTCGCTCTGCACGTAATCCCAATACTGCCTCGGGCGGTTTACGTTCGCGTCCGCGTAGTACCGCGCCACGTTTGGCTGCGCTGTCTTCCAAACTGCCCCTCGTGAAGCGCCACCTGGAGGCCTTCGCAGTCACTATTCTCGCAGTGGTCTAAACCCTAAACCCTAAACCCTAAACCCTAAACCCTAAAACCCTAAACCCTAAACCCTAAACCCTAAAGAAGGGCGAAATGTTGCACAGCGAAGTCAACAAACTGTTCACCAACGCGGGGGTGTTTCCCGCGCCCTGCACAAACCCTAAACCCTAAACCCTAAACCCTAAACCCTAAACCCTAAACCCTAAACCCTAAACCCTAAACCCCCCCCTAAACCCTAAACCCTAAACCCTAAACCCTAAACCCTAAACCCTAAACCCTAAACCCTAAACCCCAAAGCCAAAAATCGCTGCTGCGCGAAGAGCGCTGGTTGCTGCTGCGCGTCGCCGCGCGTGCCGGCGGCGCCGTGTCCGCCCCGCGCAAAGGCCAAACCCTAAACCCCAAACCCTAAACCCTAATTTAGGGTTTACCGATTCGCCGGAAAGCGAGCTGGAGTCGTCGTGCTGCGTCTTGTGGAGACGATCCCACTTCATGATGTAAAGACAATTTTCTTTTCCGTCGCTTTGAGTGCCCCCCACGGCGTAGCAGGTGTGGGGGCACCGCGTGCGCGCCTGCAGCCAAACCCTAAACCCTAAACCCTAAACCCTAAACCCTAAACCCTAAACCCTAAAGCCTAGGCAGCCTTTCCTGCAGCGCCGCCCGCAGAGATGAGGCCACACCAGCGCACGCGCGAAACGGGTGGCCAGGCCCGCAGCGCCCTCTCCCGCTCAAGTCGAGGGTTTAGGGTTTAGGGTTTAGGGTTTGGGGTTTAGGGTTTAGGGTTTAGGGTTTACGGCGCCGAGCTGGTCTGGAATGAAGTCAAAAGAAAGACAGGGCCAAGCCGTCTGCAGCCTGTGGAGAAGTTCGTAGGCGCTCGAGTCGCACTCCAGCACCTCGCCTGCCACACAAACCCTAAACCCTAAACCCTAAACCCTAAACCCTAAACCCTGAACCCTAAACCCTAAACCCTAAACCCTAGGCCTCAAGGATGAACTGCAGCTGCACGCACCTTCGCCAAGGGTGTCCACGCCGGGCCGCCACACCTGCAGAAGCAGAAGTAACACAAGCAGCAAACCCTAGATCCTAAACCCTAAACCCTAAACCCTAAACCCTAAACCCTAAACCCTAAACCCTACCTTGACGGGCTGTTCGTTCTCCTCGTCTTCGTCCGTTTGCATTTCTTCTGCGTCGGAAACGTCGCTCCATTCATCTTCCTGGTCTTCTGCTGCTGCTGCTGCTGCTCTTTTGCTGCTGCTGCTGCTGCTGCTGCTGCTGCTGCTTTGCTTCTTCTGCTGCTTGCGCAGCAGCTGCTGCAGCTGCTGCTGCTCTTCTTCGTCCAGGTCATCGCCGTATGGGTCTTCAAACTCTAGGCCATTTTCCTGTGGCACAAACCCTAAACCCTAAACCCTAAGCCCTAAACCCTAAACCCTAAACCCTAACCGCCAGGGAATACGTCGCACCGCAGACCCTTTGTCTAGGGATTCGAGTTCATGGCCAAGGGTTCAGGGTTTACTTAGGGTTTAGGGTTTAGGGTTTAGGGTTTAGGGTTTAGCTCTCAGGGCCTCGCATTTCCCCAAAAAGGGCTTGGCGGTTTAGGGTTAACGAAGGGCTTGCTGCGTACCTAGGGTTTAGGGTTTAGGGTTTAGGGTTTGCGGCTTAGGGTTTAGGGTTTAGGTAGGGTTTAGGGTTTAGGGTTACTAATTCTTTCTCGGGTTCTTCCTCTGCCTCCGGCGCCCGTTTCCCTTTGGTTCCTTTTTGTCGCTGCAGAAGCAAACCCTAAACCCTAAACCCTAAACCCTAAACCCTAATCCTGAACCCGAAGCCCTAAACCCTAAACCCTAAACCCTCGTTCAGCATGTCGAAGTCGCAGCAACTGGATCGACTTTATTTTGTTCTTACCTTTGGCTCCGACATTCTTTGTGTTGAGAAGCTCCAGTTGTAAACCCTAAACCCTAAACCCTAAACCCTAAACCCTAACGGGCAGGGTAGCGAAAAAGGTGCCCAGTAGACCCCCACGGCGGGCAGCCTCAAAAGATCTGCTTAAGGGTTTGCAGAAAAGGGTTTAGGGTTTAGGGTTTTAGAGTTTAAGGGTTTCGCAGCGCTCGGGGTGTGGGGCCCGTGGGGCCTCGTATGGAGGGTTTAGGGTTTAGGGTTTAGGGTTTAGGGTTTAAGGCTTGCAGCCTTCTACCCTAAAACCGAATTAAAATTGCTTATATATGATGAAAAAAAGCGCCAATAAACCCTAAACCCTAAACCCTAAACCCTAAACCCTCCTCTCTGCTCCGGGCTTTCCTGGGGCCCCCGAACACGGGGCCCACCTGAGGCCCTGCAGTGGTCTCCGAACCCTAAACCCTAAACCCTAAACCCTAAACCCTAAACCCTTACAGACAAGTTTTTTTATTGCTTGAAATTTGGCATTTCAACAGGGATTGAAGCCTTCTCGAGGATCGCCAGAGTCTAAGGCCCCTAAACGCTAAACCCTAAACCCTAAACCCTAAACCCTAAACCCTAAACCCTAAACCCTACCCATGAGTACAACAAGCTGTCTTCTAGGGATAAACGCTAACTAGTGAGGACTTCTGAGTGTTCAACTCAAGCAAAAAAGTGGGGACAAAAGCCCCTAAACCCTAAACCCTAAACCCTAAACCCTAAACCCTAAACCCTAAATTACACTTTTGCTTTGCTGCAGCTGATCACGTCGCCTCTCAGACCAGCGGCACTCATACAAACGCGTGAGCTGCAGCTGCTGCTGCTATTACTGCTGCTGCTGCTGCCGTTGCTGCTGCTGCTGCTGCTGCTGCTGCTGTTGCTGCTGCTGCTGCGAGTCGACGGCGATTTAGAGAAGACAAAAAAGAGCCAAAAAGAAGTTCAAAGAAAAACAAATTCAAAAAATAAATTAAAAAAATAAATATTGAAAACAAATTTTAAAAATAAAATTCAAAATGAATTTAAAAAAAAAAATAAAAATCAAAGAATACAAGTGAGGAAGCAAATAGGGTATTTCTGGGGCCTCGTCGCCCGTATGGCTAGCTAGGTAGCTAGCTAGCTAGCTAGCTGGTTAGCTAGCTAGCTAGCTGGATAGCTAGCTAGCTAGCCAGCTAGCTAACTAGCTGGCTAGCTAGCTGCCTGGGCGGAACTGGCTGGGAGCTTTGCTAGCTAGCTAGCCAGCTTGCTGGGCCGGATGAGGCGAGAGATATATAGCTGGCTAGCTAGCTAGCTAGCTAGCTAAATAGCTAGCCAACCAGATAGCTAGCTAGCCCGGCAGATAGATATAGATAGACAGTTAGCCAGGTAGCTGGCTGGCTATTCAGGAGTGGTGGCGCGGAACTAGCTGGCTAGCTGGTAGTAGCTAGCTAGCTAGCTAGCTAGCTAGCCAGCCAGCTAGCTAGCTAGCCAGGCTTGGCTAGCTTGGCGACGATTCGGAGCTAGCTAGCTAGCTGGGAACGGCTAGCTAGGGGATAGCTTGCTAGCCACGGCTAGCTAGCTAGCCAGGCACAGTCAGCTAGCCACAGCTAGCTAGCCATGGCTAGCTAGGCTAACTAACTAGCTGGCTGGCTAGCTAGGCTAGCTAGCTAGCTAGCTAGCTAGCTAGGTAAGCTGGGCTAGCTAACTAGGAGAGCAGCTAGCCATGGATAGATGGCGCTAACTAACCATCTGGGCTAGCTAGCTGTTAACCTAAACAGCCCAAACCCTCAAAAACCCTAAACCCTAAACCCTCAAACTTCAAACGCCATTCTGTAGTTGGGGGCCTTGACAACCCTAAACCCTAAACCCTAAACCCTAAACCCTCAGATGGGCTCGGGCATAGTCATCCCTTCAGCAACAGCCAAGCGGCAGCTGGCGCTGCGCTTTCAGCTGCTGCTGCCGCCGCTGCTGTTGCTGCTGCTGCTGCTGTTGCTGCTGCTGCTGCTGCAGCAGCAACTGCTGCTGCTGCTGCAGCAGCAACTGCTGCTGCTGTTTTACCTCCCCAAGTCGCAGAGCTTGTTGATGCGCAGTCGCAGCAAGGCGCTGGTGTCTTTGCACTGCAGCAGAACCGCAGCCAAAACCCTAAACCCTAAACCCTAAATCCTAAACCCTAAGCCCTAAACCCTAAACCCTAAACCCTAAACCCTAAACCCTCACTTACCAGCGACATCTGGACCTGCAACGGAGAACCAACGACAGCCGACTCTTTGAAAGAGGCGAAGAACTCTATCAAGGCATCATACTCCTGCACACCCAAAACCCTAAACCCTAAACCCTAAACCCTAAACCCTAAACCCTAAACCCTCTAGGCGGGCCCCCGGCTGGCCAGCAGCATCAAATTTCTACCGCTGCTGGCGTTGCAGCGCCGCCGCACGCCCCCCCCCTAAACCCCAAACCCCAAACCCTAAACCCTAAACCCTAAACCCTAAACCCTAAACCCTAAACCCTAAACCCTAGGACCTTGAGGGCAGCAGCCATGCACTGAATGCACTCTTGTTTGCTTCTTCCCATCTGAGACATCATTAAAGCTCTTTTCATTTTCGAACAAGCCAAAGCTCCCCGCAGTTCTGCTGACAATTCGGAAACAGGGTCTGCGCCCCGCTGCGCGCAAACCCTAAACCCTAAACCCTAAACCCTAAACCCTAAACCCTAGGCCCTCAACCCTTCGAAGGCCTGGCTGCCCCACGGTCTGCGCCTCGCTGCGCACAAACCCTAAACCCTAAACCCTAAACCCTTCGCGGGAGAGGCAGACGCAGGGTGTGCGCCCCGCGGCGCAAAAACCCTAAACCCTAAACCCTAAACCCTAAACCCTAAGTGCGTGCCGCCGTAGCACAGAGGCAGTCAGAGTGGCGTCCCGCAAACCTAAACCCTAAGCCTTCAATTTAGAGTGCAGACCCACGGATGGGCTTCACAACCCTAAACACCAAACCCTAAACCCTAAACCCTAAACCCTAAACCCTAAACCCTAAACCCTAAAGCTTGAAAGCTGAGGCCGAAAGCTCACAATTTCAAACGTCTTTATAAAAATTGTAAAGTAGTGGGCGCTACGAGCAGCAAACGCATGCAGCTCGCGGCACTTCTTTAGCCCTGCAGCAGCAGCAGCAGCAGCAGCAGCAGCAGCAGCAGCATTAGCAGCAAGTGCAGCAGCAGCAGCAGCAAAACTAGCAGCAAACGCAACTGCAGCAGCAGGTGCAGCATCAGCTTTCTCACGATTGAGCTCTTCGTCTTGCATCTGGTTGAAGTCAAGGCAAAGATCTGTGTCACCCAAAACCCCAAACCCTAAACCCTAAACCCTAAACCCTAAACCCTAAACCCTAAACCCTAAACCCTGAATACTAAGCCATTAGTATAAAGCCCCAAACATCGCTCTCTTCCTAAGTGCGCCCTTCGCTTTGCTCCCCAGGCCGCTCAGGGCTTAAGCACAAGACTTTAGGGTTTAGGGTTTAGGGTTTAGGGTTTAGGGTTTACCGGCACTAGCGTCATCATCCCATGAGGGTTTTCGGCCCTTCCATTTGCAAATATGAATTTGCTCGTAAACCTCCCCGAGCTCATAAGAGAGCTGCCGCCTGCCGCCACCCCCAAACCCTAAACCCTAAACCCTAAACCCTAAACCCTAAACCCTAAACCCTAAATTAGAAGCCCTAAATCCTTGAGCTGGCGCATTTGTTTCCTTTTAAAGACCGCTAGGGTTTTTGAGTACACTGGATTGCCCGTGAAGGCCCCGCGGGCGCCTGCAGAGGCCTGCGAGGGTTTAGGGTTTAGGGTTTAGGGTTTAGGGTTTACACGAGGTCTAGGTAAAACTGAGGGTTTAGCTCTGCTGCTAAAGGCTCCAGCAGCTTGCAGCGCCGCTGCAGCATTCCAACAAAACGCGGGAGGTTTTCTTCAAAGAAGGAAAGCTCCCTGCAGGCAAACACACTGTGCTGCTGCTGCTGCTGCTGCTGCTGCTGCTGCTGCTGCGGTTGCTGCTGCAGTTGCTGTTCGTAGCAACTAGTGCAGCAGCAGCAGCAGCATGCTGCTGCTGCTGCTGCTGCACCAGTTGCTAAGAACGATGAATCCCAAGAATAATAATAATAATAATAATAATAATAATAATAATAATAATAATAATAATAATAATAATTAATAATAATAATAATAATAATAATAAATAATAAATAATAATAAATGATACAAATAATAAAAGTAAAATGAAAATAAAAATGTTTAAGACTCACTTGTAGAGAGAAGACTGAAGCAAACAAAGGCGAGTGTGGTCTGTTGACCAGCCGTCCAGTGTAAACAGCTGCAGCAGCAGCAGCAGCAGCAGCAGCAGCAGCAGCAGCAGCAGCAACAGCAGCAGCAGCAGCAGCAGCAGCAGGACAAAATGGGCCGAGGGGAGAACAGGTGTTGCAAGAACGCTGCAAAGGGTGTGGACATTCGTCAGACTTGCTGCTGCTGCTAATGCTGCTGCTGCTGCTGCTGCGCGTCAACTCGTAGCAGCAGCAGCAGCAGCAACAGCAGGAATTGCTGCACCTCAGCTGCAGCCGAAAGAAGTGCAGCAGCAGCAGCAGCAACAGCGGCAGCAGCAGCAGCAGCGGCAGCAGAGGCAGCAGCAACACCAGCAGGGCAAACTGGCAGGGGGGCTAGGTGCTGCTGCTGAACAGCAGATCCATAGCAGCAGCAGCAAAAGCAGCAGCAGCAGCAGCAACAGCAGCAGCAGCTCGCCTTAAGAGCAGCATTTGAGTAAAATGCTGCTGCAGCAAAGAGACACTTGGGCCCTTCAAAGCCAACAGTCAGCGAGAGGCTCCGCAGGCGCTCCAGGTCGCCCTCGCTGCAGCAGCAGCAGCAGCAGCAGCAGCAGCAGCAGCATGAGCAGCAGCAGCGGCAAATGCAGTGACATCAGAGGGAGCACTGCTGCCTAGGAGCTGCTGCAGCAGCCGCTGCAGCAGCCGCTGCTGCTGCGTGTGGGAAGGCAAATCTAACACATAGGCCCTAAACCCTAAACCCCAAGGGGCATGCCTGTAAACCCTAAACCCTAAACCCTAAACCCTAAACCCTAAACCCTAAACCCTAAACCCTAAACCCTCACGGCAGGTCCTTCAGTTCCGGCAGCAGGGGAGCCGTTTCGTTAGTCATCATTAGCTGCCTGTTCATCTGCGCGAGCTTCCTAGATACCTGAAAGAACCAGCAGCAGCAGCAGCAGCAGCAGCAGCAGCAGCAGCAGCAGCAGCAGCAACAGCAGCTGCAGCAAAAGAGGCAGCAAGGGAAGACACAGGCGGGGGCAGCAACAACCAGCGGCGACTCGGCAACTAGCAGCACCAGAACTACTAGCAGCAGCAGCAGCTAAAGCAGCAACGGCAGCAGCAGGAGAAATAGCAGCAGCAGCAGCAGCAGCAGCAGCACATTTGCTGCTGTGGCAAATTCGCTCACAACGTCATGAAGCGGAGGCAGAGAGACTGGCAGCAGCAGCAGCGTGCGGTCTGTCAGCAGCACCCAGGACCTGCAGCAGCAGCAGCAGCAGCAGCAGCAGCAGCAGCAGTAGCAGCAGCAGCAGTAGTATGACGAGACGATGGAAGAAGTTACGCAGCAGCAGCCCCAGCAAGAGCAGCAGCAGCAGCAGCAGCAAGAGCAGCAGCAGAACTGAGCAGCTCGGAGTCATACATCTCTTCTTCCCTGATGCCATGTGCAGCAGCAGCAGCAGCAGCTGCTGCTGCTGCTGCTGCTGCATCCGCTGCTTCTGGCAGCAGCAGCAACCGCTCACAGCGGGCTGCCAGCTGCAGCAGCGAAGGCTGAGGGCTCGCGTGGCGCTGCAGCAGCTCCCCGAAATTGACAGGCCAACAGCAAATATCCCTGTTGCTGCTGCTGCTGCTGCTGCTGTTGCTGCTGCTGCTGCTGCTGTCGCTTTTGTTGCTGCTGCTGTTGCTGCTACCGCCGCTCTGGACAGCGTCGCCTCCCTCCTCTTGGCGCTGCTGCTGCTGCTGCTGCTGCTGCTGCTGCTGCTGCTGCTGCTGCTGCTGCTGCTGCTGCTTTAGTATTAAGGCCTTAACGGCTGCTTCTGGGACTGCCAGCAGCAAAAATGCATCTTCAATATTGCTGAGACACAAAGAAAGCTGCGGGCCCATCTGCAGCAGACCACAAACCACAGCAGCAGCTGCTGCTGCACCTGCAGCAGAAATTCTTTCTGCTGCTGCTGCTGCTGCTGCGGAAAATTCACAGCAGCAGCAGCAGCAAATGCAACGGAAAAACGCGCTGGTGCTGCAGCAATAGCAGCAAGACAAGCAGCAGCAGCAGCAGCAGCAGCAGCAGCAGCAGCAGCAGCAGCAGCAGCAGCAGCAGCAGCAGCGGCAGCAGCAGCAGCAGCAGCAGCGGCAGCAGCAGCAGCAGCAGCGGCAGCAGCAGCAGCAGCAGCAGCAGCAGCCAGGGTTCACGTCTTTAGTGAGCAGTTTCTCCAAGTCAGCATCGCTTCTGTTTTGGCTTTGCTGCTGTTGCTGCTGCTGCTGCTGCTGCTGTTGCTGCTGCTGTGATTCCGTTTCCTGCTGCTGCGCTCCCTCTTGCTGCTGGCTGTCTGGATCTTGCTGCTTGTTCTGCTGCTGCTGCTGCTGCTGCTTCAGTTGCTGCAGCTGCTGCTGCAGCCAGTCTGCAACAAAAGGAAGCCCCTGCTGCTGCAGCTGCCGCGAGGCCTTGAGCCGCTGCCCAAAGAGAGCAGCAAGCTGCTGCTGCAGCGCAGCAGCAAACTCTTCCAGCTGCTGCTCTCCGTGCTGCACTAGTGAGGCCACAGCAATGGGCCCCAAATAGAGAACATCGCTGTCAACGGTGTCTGCTGCTGCTGCTGCTGCTGCTGCTGCTGCTGCTGCTGCATCTTCCTCTGCTGCAGCAGCTGGCGTTTGCTCGCCGGGATGTTCTCGCTGCGTTTGCTGCTGCAGCTGCTGCATTTGCTGCTGCAGCTGCTGCTTCTGCTGCCTGTCGCTTGCTGCTTGCTTCACGAGAGCTGCTGCTGCATGCAAATGAAACTCTGCTGTTAGCTGCTGCTGCTGCGCCCCCCAAAAGTCCGCCAATCCTTCCAGATTCCGCAGCAGCTCTCGGGTGTCTATACACGTGGGAGCAGCAGCAAACAGCGTGGCTGCCACCACGCTGCTGCTGCTGCTGCTGCTGCTGCTGCTGCCAAAAAGCGGGGCCGGGAAGGGCGACAAGGCAGCGCTGCTGCTGCTGCTGCTGCTGCTGCTGCTGCTGCTGCTGTTGCTGCAGCGGCTGCAGAGCAGCGCTGGAGGATGCTTCTCTCCTGCAGCAACGGCACGCACCTCGCCTGCTGCTGCTGCTGCTGCTGCTCTGCTGCGCGGGTCCCAGTATTGCTGCTGCTGCCACAGCTCCTGCTGCCGCTGCCTGTACACCTCGCGCCTCTGCAGCAGCTGCAGCAGCGCACCAGCAGAAGCTGCTGCTGCTGTTGCGTCTCGCTGCTGCTCATATTGGTACGGCGAGAGCCGCTCAAACGCCGCAGCACTGCTGCTGCTGCTGCTGCTGCTGCTGCTGCTGCTGCTGCTGAGATGCTGCCGCTGCTGCATAGTTACCTGAGCCCCCACGCAGCTGGCCAGCAGCTCTTGGGAGTCATAAACGTGCTGCAGCATCTCCCAGACCTGCTGCTGCAGCAGATGCTGCTGCTGCTGCTGCTGCTGCAGCAGCAGTTTCGCTTCCCGCAGCAGCGGCCATACATTCGCCCACGCTGCTGCTGCTGCTGCTGCTTCCCCCCACCGGGTGTACTGACACACCAAGTCCAGCAGCAAACCAGCAGCACGCAGCAGCAGAGACACTGGAGAGTAAAAGAGATACAGAGGGACTTCGCGGCAACTGCAGCAACCTGCTGCTGCTGCTGCTGCTGCTGCTGGCGCAGCAGCAGCAGCTGCTGCTGCCTCTGGTGCAGTCACACCACATTTGTCCCCTGCATGCCCATCCGCACCCTCTTGGCGTTGCTGCTGCTGTTTCTGCGTTTCCTGCTGCTGCTGCTGCTGCTGCTGCTGCTGCTGCTGCTGCTGCTGCTGTGCATCGAACCTGATGACCTTGAGCAGCAGCAGCAGCGCAAGCCGCAGCCGCTGCTGCCCATCTGTTGTTTCTTCTGTAACTATTTTGCTGCTGCCGAGCAGCGACAGCAAATGTGTCAGCAGCAGCAGCAGCCGCTGCGCCGGCAGCAGAGTCCCGTAGCCAGCAGCATGCAGCGAGACTGCTGCTGCTGCAGCAGCAGAAGACACAGAAGCAGCAGCAGCAGCAGCAGCATAGACTCACACTTTTGCTGCGAGCAGCAGCAATGGCGGCAACTGACCGTGCTGAGCTCTCCACAGTGCCCAGTCTAAAGATGCAGCAGCAGCAGCAGCAGCAGCAGCAGCAGCAGCAGCAGCAGCAGCAACAGCGGCACTAGAAGCAGCAGCAACAGCGGCACTAGAAGCGGCAGTGAAGAGGCAGAAGCAACAGTAGCAGCAACAGCAGCACCAACAGCGGAAAAGGCAGCGGATTACAATCAGCAATGCCAGCAACAGCAGCAGCAGCAGCAGCAGCAGCAGCAGCAGCAGCAGCAGCAAGAAGAGACTAACGAATGCACTCAGTGTGCAGCAGAAACTTTCTCAAGAGCTTGAAGCAGCGCAGAGTCATTTGCTGCAGCAGGCTGCGGCCCGCATATTTGGCTACAAAGACCTGCTGCAGCTGCTGCTCCTGCTGCTGCTCCTGCTGCAGCAGCAGCTGCTGCTGCAGCTGCTGCTGCAGCTGCTGCTCAGGGTCTTGCCACTCGCTCTCGAGAATGGCCCAGTAACGCACAAGAGCAGCAGGCAGCTCCTGAGTCTCGAAAGCATCAAGTTCTGCCTCTATGCTGCTGCTGCTGCTGCTGCTGTTGCTGCTGCTGCTGTTGCTGCTGCTGCTGTCTGAAAGAAGGTCTTCTGCAAGCTGTATCGCCTCTGCGATACTCTT